AATCTCGCGCGGTCCGTACGGGTTCATACGGACCGCTCACGTAGCCAATCAGATTGCAGAAAAGCGTAAAATATGACTTCGGACCGCAAGAAAAAAAAAAATTCAGCTATTCTTCGAAAATATACGTAGAAATATAAATACTACAACGTACAGCTTGTCCTTAAACATAAAATTTTAAAAATATACCTTAAATGCCAAGTTTAAGGACGATTCCTGGGCTTAATTTGGTCAAAATTGTTTTTACAAATGTTGTAATAAAGAAATTGTTTTTCGGCAACTAAAATTTGTAGTTGTCTGCCAAAAAGCATTTTTCAAGCATGTACTTGCTGTAAAACAATCCAGAAAATAAATAATTTTACTTAGTTTACCTTCTGTTGTCTTTGTTCAGTAGAAAATCATCTATTGCAATGAAACTAAAAGCTTTTTATCCAGCTTTTATCGCGTCGTTTTAGCAGTTTGTCATGTACTATTAAAGCACAGAGTAAAGATATTCTCTGTGACTAAAGTAACAAACGCAACTGATCTCAAATGTACTTCGCAACTGGAATTTTATCGGAATTTCGTAATAACAGTGAACCTTCAAATAAAAAAATAAACACGTTATTTACCGTTTTAGGTCGGTCCGTACTGAAAAAATATTTTCCCTCGGCCTCAGAAGCGTCCTTCGGCCTCGGGCCGCTTCTGAGACCTCGGGAAAATATTTTTTCAGTGCGGACCTCGCAGCCGGTAAATAACATATATATATATACAAATTTTTAAAAAACCGTGAAAACTTTATTTTGTCCATTATCTGAAAAAAACTGAAAAATATCTGACCTATTTTTGTACATTTTGACCGGATATTTGTACTTCAAAGCAAAATAATAATTTGCAGGTTAGCTTGTTGGTTTATCTTGACTGATTAGCCTTTCTCACGATGACTAATATCCGCCATTTTTGGGTGGCATCTAATTCTCGTTTAAGCAATACAGACAATTACAACAGTGTGAAAAGCAATATTTCAAAATAAACTAACCATTTACAAGGCAAATTTACCATCATTCGTCCAAAAAATTATAAAAAGTCGCCGTTATGTGGACTTATTTTGCAGACTGCGGCTGAAAAGCCACCCAAAAATGGCGGCGTGAGAAAGGCTAATGCCACTACCCCTGCCTGCCTGCCTGCCTGCCTGTCAGACAATGCAGACCTTCCAAGTCTCACATTCTGCGAGACACACACATTTTAAGGATTTCTCGCACTCAAATGCAAGTAAAGGAAGTTCTCACACATTTTAAAAAACGTCTTAGATTTTATGTAAAATTAATAAAATGTACTGTACGTGTCAAAAATTACCATAAACGTTAAAGCCATGCATGAGAGAACTTAATTTCATATGTAATTTTTGCCAGTCTTGAAAACATGAGTTCCGTGGAACACTCCATTGCCCCC